TCCCCAGAAAGGAATTATTGGCTATAGGAAACGGGAAAACTGAACCCACGATACATAGGACCGTTCGAGATTCTTGCCCGAATTGGTCCAAAGACTTATAAGCTGCAGCTTCCTGTAGAGCTCAGCAACATACACCTCGTGTTCCACATTCCAAATTGAAAAAGTGACTGATCTGATGAAACTCTATTCATTCCATTAGAAGAAATCAAAATCAACGAAAATCTCCGGTTCATTGAAGAACCAGTCGAAATTATGGATAAGGAAGTAAAGCGTACAAATCAGAGTCGCATTCCGATTGTGAAGGTTCGATGGAATGCTAAGCGTGGACCGAAATTCACATGGGAACGCGAAGATTAGATGAAGTAGAAGTACCCTCACCTATTCTCTCATTCATGATTTTACCTTTCGAAAGAATTTCGGGACAAAATTCCCTCTAACGGGGGATGATGTCACAACTGGCATTTTTGCTAGGAAAATTCTATTCTCATAAAAACATCATCTATTGTAGGGCTTGTACTCTAAGTGATAGTACCCTATGTTCAATAAACGTCATCCATTTGAATCCAAACTTTTGGATGAAGGTCAAAACCTAATACAATACATCTCATATGTTTATTTATGAGTTGAAAACCCTAGACATCCCGTTTCAAGTTCACTATGGACTAGGATTCTCTTATTAGGCCTAATGCACCAATAAACCTTCAAGTTGACTATCTTGGGCCTAGAAACCCTAATTAGGCTCTAATTAGACCCACATTCATAAACCTTAACATTTTGGGTCATGTGGACCTAGAATGGTTCATTCTATTCCTAATGGGCCAAATTGGGCCATAAGTGATTTTAAATTTCCTAATGGACCGCAAACCCTTTTTCAATTTGATTTCATTGGGCCGTGACCACTAATGAGGGCCCAATGGGCCAAAAACTTTATGTTTAGGTTCCAAAAATCCTAACTAAATGTTAATGGGCTCAAACTATTCCATTCCCACTCCTTGGCCCAAAGATCTCGGCCCAACATCAATTAAAAAATAAAAGTAGAAAAGATGGGAAAATCCTAATGAAGACACCTCATTATTTACTAGAGGTCTTCCAAGTTGGTTATCTCACATGTTTCCACAATTAAGCATCTTAAACCATCAAGTAATAACCAACTAGGTCTCTCTATCTCCCCCTTATCTACTTATCGGCCAAACACCCCTCCCACCACCTTCCATTTTTCCTTTTAAACACTTTCAAGACTCTCTCAAGAAGTCCTCTCTATTCGTGTAAATTTTCGAGTTTTGGTGTTGGTTGCAAGAGGATCTTCATCTAAATCATCATTTTTGGTAAGTTTATACTTGGATCTATAGTTTAGCTTCTTGATTTCCTTAATAATCTCTTCTTAAACCATAACACTTTGTCAATAACACATCCTTGCTTCATAGAGTTCTAAAACCCTTCAAGGAGTTTGCTAAAGTAAAGATCTTCACTTCATTCTACTTCAAAACCGAAACTCCAAGCAAAGGTGAGTTCATACCCCTTATTTTCGATTTTTACATGGTTTGGGGGAGAATACAAGTCTTATTTGTAGATCTATGTTTATATGCATGACTATGTGTGCTTTACATGAATTATTTGGTGATTATGTGTTGATTACTTCATTAATCTAAAAATATGTTAAGATTTTGAAGCTTATCACTTGGATTTTCATAAGAACATTGATAAAAGTATGTTTTATCACATATATTACATATGAACTAGTAGATCTGGGATTTATACACTTTAAATAGCCAAAAATGAGTGTTGTGTTCTAAGATCTATAAATTAAACTCATAAAACAACCCTTGACAGAAAAGTTTTGGTCAAATCTCGAACTGTTTTGACCCTCTTAAAGGAAGTATTTTTCAACATTGTTTTACATGGATAAATTTCAGATTTATACCTTTAAAAATGACTACTCTCACGTTTTCATACGATTTTTCTACAATTTTTGGCGAATTTTACAAAATTGCCTATCAGATTTGAAATAATTTCGGACCAGCTTGTAAAGGTGAGCAATTTCACACTTGTTAGAAGCCATTAAAAAATTATGAGAAATTTTTTGAACAAAGTAGACAAATTTTCCAAAATTCCAGAATTTACGAATCCAAATTTCGAGTTACGATAATTTTTCTACAAAATTTCCAAAAAGTAGGTCGGAAAAGCCCAAAACCAGAAAAATGTGTATTTCCACAAAAATCAAACCAAAAATGATATTTTGACAAAAATGGGTTTAAAATGTTATTTTTACCACAAACTAGTCATCAATACAAGTTTTGAACAAAATGGAGACTAAAGTGTTATTCTTACAAAAATTGGGCCTTAATTGTAAATTTTTGGCTTATTGGGCCAAGAACATCATTTTTACAAAAAAGTGGGCTTTTTATATCAACTTTGTAAATAATCAAGCTAAAATAAACAAAACAATAGCACACAGGTTAAAAACGAAATTCATATCCTTATTGGGTCTGGAAATAATATACATGTTTAGTGGGCCTTAGTGTCCTTTTACATGTATATTGGGCTTAGGATAGACATTTATATTCCTTTGAGTCTGGAAATAATAGACACGTATAGTGGGCCTTAGGTCCACTTAAATGTTTATTGTGCCTAGGAATGAGTTTTATATGTGTTCTTCTTTCTTTTGCTATTTTAGTGAATACTTGAACCAAAACCAACGATAACTAACAAACGGATTATTTTGATCATTTTCTAGATTATTGGGACTTAGGGGCCAATTTTTATGTGTGATAGGTCATGTATATTATTTATATGTTTATTAGGCCTTATTGACCTGTTAACATGTTCGACGGACCTTGGATACTATTTGTGTGCTATTTGGGCCTATAAATACCTTACATGTGAAATGGGCCTTAGTTGTCCTTTCATATATATATATATATATATATATATATATATATATATATATATATATATATATATATATATATATATATATATATATATATATATATTTCGGGCCCATGTTATATAATTTCATTCCAATTTGGGCCTCTAAATGATTTACATGTTTAGTGATGCCTTAGTGGTTCACTTACATGGTTCATTTGGCCTGGAATGAGATTATACCTTTCTTCGCATAAATTCGATTAAGGATCTAGTGAGTTTTGTTGGTTGGCACCTATTAAGTGTACGATCATAGCTTGTAGTTATAGCTAGAGTCTCTTGGAGGGAGAGCGGGGATTTGTGAGTAGATCTATACGGGGATGACACCCCACACATAAGTTGTTCGCTACAGTTAGACTAACTCAGTCTAGGGTGACAAAAACGTTATAATCAATAATCAAAACCGGCATCGAACAACGCCAAGACAGGCGAAATTGTCATTATTTAGTATGGTTATGATGGCTCACTTAGAGGAATTAACGTTATGAAGTTTACGGAAGACCATTTTATTTTCTCTTGGATTACTCGGAAACATACTCGTACTGGTACCCAACCTTGGGGGTTGGTATGGCAACATTCTCTTTTACAGACAACATCGGGTTGTTTGGGAACATTCTCTTTACATGCCTTTTACATTCTCTCTACATTCTCTTTACCCTTTTTAGTCAAATAAACAATAACATACATACATTAATACAAGATCTGCCACAAACGTACTAAACAGTTTGCAGAAAATATCGGATTTTCTGGTGGTTTTCAAAGTTCTACAAATCATTTTTCACAAACATGCTTATGAACTCACCAACATTATATATGTTGACGTTTTTCAAAATAACTTGTATTCTTAGGAAACCGTTGAAGCAGGATGAATGAAACAAACTAATGGATATTGTGTTATATTTTGTTTCATCATACTTTTACTATTTTGGCATGTAATATTCAAATACAATACTCGATGTAAACAATGAATGTTGTTATATTACATCTGTGATGATGATGATGTTATGTTTCAATTATATACTTTGTAATGATACTACAATAATGAAGTCACGCTTAAGCCCCCGAACGTTTCCGCCATCTGGTTTGGGGGTGTGACTAACTCAGTCTAGGGTAACAAAAACGTTATAATGAATAATCAAAACCGGCATCGAACAACGCCACGACAGGTGAAATTGTCATTATTTAGTATGGTTATGACGCCTCACTTAGAGGAATTAACGTTATGAAGTTTACGGAAGACCATTTTATTTTCTCTTGGATTACTCGGAAACATACTCGTACTGGTACCCAACCTCGGGGGTTGGTATGGCAGCTTTCTCTTTTACAGACAACATCGGGTTATCTGGGAACATTCTCTTTACATGCCTTTTACATTCTCTCTACATTCTCTTTACCCTTTTTAGTCAAATAAACAATAACATACATACATTAATACAAGATCTGCCACAAACGTACTAAACAGTTTGCAGAAAATATCGGATTTTCTGGTGGTTTTCAAAGTTCTACAAATCATTTTTCACAAACATGCTTATGAACTCACCAACATTATATATGTTGATGTTTTTCAAAATAACTTGTATTCTCAGGAAACCGTTGAAGCAGGATGAACGAAACAAACTAATGGATATTGTGTTATATTTTGTTTCATCATACTCTTACTATTTTGGTATGTAATAATCAAATACAATACTCGATGCAAACAATGAATGTTGTTATATTACATGTGTGATGATGATGATGTTATGTTTCAATTATATACTTTGTAATGATACTACAACAATGAAGTCACGCTTAAGCCCCCGAACGTTTCCGCCGTCTGGTTCGGGGGTCTGACATAACTAGTTTTCCATGTGGTCATGTGATAATGGTTTTAACGCACTTGAAGAATGATCACTATGGGCATATGGCTATAGATTCTTATAAAATTGAAACATATCGAAGAACGTACGAGCAGGGCGTATACCCTCTTTCAGAACTTAGTGATTGAGAGGTTTCGGATGACCTTATGGTTGTTAACCCTCCTGTGATGGAAATATGTCAAACTGTTAGACCAAAAAACACCAATCGTACTCCCTCTAAAGGTGAAGAACCAAAAATAAGAAGGTGTAGTAGATGTCATAGCACAACTCACAATGCAAGGACGTGTAAGGAAATCGTTCCAAAGAACCAAAGTAAAAGTAAAAAATGTACTGGGGCGTTAGGAAGTGGGACAAAAGCGACAGGAGAGGAACCGACGAAACCAACCGAAAACCAATGGCAGCATGAGCCAGAAAACCAATTGATGCAATATACCAAACAACAATGGTAGCAACAACTATACAACCAATTGACACAACAGATCGAACATCAATGGCAACAACATCCATACAACCAATGGACATAACAGACCAAACATCAATGGCAGCAACATCCAGACAACAAATGGACATAACAAACCGAACATCAATGGCACTAGGAGCCACAAAACCAATGGACGCAAGGGACCGAATACCAACCGTAGGAAGAGCCACAGAACCAATGGCAGAGTTGCACCGAGTACCAATGACAGCAAGAGCTAGATAACCAATAGACGGAAGCGGCAATAAACCTAGGGACACAAGCAACATAAAACCCATGGTCGATATACGAAAACAGATCAAATTTTCCGTAGTTCGATTTGAATGAATGAAGTTTATTTCAAAGTATGTTCATTATGAAAGTTTATGTTTTCTAAAGTATGTTTTGTAACCTACTTAAAATATGTTTATTATTCAAAGTACCGGTGTGTGTAATTTTATAAAAAACATGGAATATTTGTATAATTTTTATTAAACACATAGTTTTTTCAAACGGGTGATTAAATAAGAAAAACGAAAAACGAAAACAATTTTTTTTACATAAAAATCACATAATACCTTATGTGATTAAAAAAATAATAATAATATTAATAAACGAAAACAAAAATAAAAAAAATAAAAAAAACCAAGATCCGGAGAGGTGTTCATGGTTCCTCAGAAGCGTTTATGGTTCCGCAGAACTCCCTCTGCGGAACCTATTGTCATTTTATAACCACATGATTTTCATTATGAATAATAGCTTTATCCTCACAAAAACAAATTTGGACTTTCGCATATGCCTTGTTAATCATGAAGATCAATAATCAGATTTCCTTCATTTCTTTTTTTTTTTTTTTTTATTTTTTATTTTTTTATATTTTTTTTAATGTAAATGTTCACGACGGTTATAACGCATTCATGTCATTATTTTTGTGCCAAACACATAAGTTATCATATTAACCATACGTATAAAAAACAAATTAAATATAACATCCGGATTCCCAGATATATTATTCTAATATTTTATTTTTGGAATTTGTGAAGGAACTTGACAAGTTGATGCTTAGACTCGCTGAGTAGGGTCGCGGGTTATCATTCGGGTTCGCGTTTGGACTCGGCGAGTCCACGTTGTTTAATGCAACCCTAATCCTTCGAGGTTGGAGCCTATTTAAGGGCACTCATAGCCTCCCATTGCGGCTACCAGTCCCTTGAGAGAACCCTTACGGAGCTAGAACGTTTGGGAGGAAGGAGAAGCCATATTTGATCTTTCTATCTTTGGTTTAGCAAGAAGAAGGTGATCAAGAGCAAGAGGAGACTGAAGGAGGTGTGATTCTAATGGTTTCAGAGTCCAGAGACTTCAACTTGAGGTATTTATTCGGACCTTCTTCAGTTTTGGTATTGATTCTTAGAGTTAGGGTTTTCTAACCTATTTTGAGGATGATTATGTGGAGCAACTGGTCCCTTATCGAGTTTATGCTTTGGATCTGGACTCAAAGAGGTCCAGAGACCTTAACCCTTGGAGCTTTATGAGTTATCTTGGGAGTTATGAGCTTAGAATGCCATTTTTGGGGCTAAATCACCAAATAATACCGCCTAGATGATATATGAGTGTCAAGGTCTGGACTTTACGTGATTATTATGCTTGGGAAGGACAGATCTATGGATTAGAGGAACAGATCTGACCTCAGGAGGTCAATGGAGTTTGTGCATGGCATGTACTCGTCGAGTTGGACTCGGCGAGTTGAGTCGGGGTGGCCCCGCGATTCTTACCTGGGGACTCGTCGAGTAAAGGAAGGGACTTGACGTGTTAAATGGGACTAAAGAGTTAAGTAGACACAGGTGGACTCGCCGAGTTACCCAAGTGCACTCACCGAGTCGGGTTAAAGTTGACCGTTGACTTTGGTTGACTTTTAGGGTTTGGTCAACAATGAGGGCCTTTGAGCCAAAGGAGGGGTAAAATGGTCTTTTACCCTTCTGAGGGTGCCTAGAGAGAGTGGAGTCTAGTTCAAAGGGTTATATTTATGAGAGTATTACTTTATGTGTTTAGGCGGAGGGTAGATCGTATTTCTACCGAGTTAGTGATTTACTGGGACATCTGAGGTGAGTCTTCTCACTATACTTTACCTGGAGTGGTAATTAGAGTTATGTGCTAGAGTTATTGTATGCTATTATGTGATGTGTTGTACTGCATTGTTTCTATGTGATTTATATTAGAGTATATCAGAGTTTGAACCGAAAGGTTGACATAGTTAGGACCAGAGGGTCCATAGAGTTAGGGCCTACGGGCGCACAGAGTTATAGCCTCGAGTGGCTAGTATGTGTTATGTATGGTATTTTGGGTAACTCACTAAGCTTTACGCTTACAGTGTTATGTGTTATGTGTTTCAGGTACCAGTGATGATCGCGGGAAGGTGCCGGCATGATTCGTACACACGCATGGATTTTTATGTATTTTGATCTTGGGAAATATTTTATGAACCAAAGTTATGATACAATGGGATTTTGTTTTTAAATGTGTTTGGTAAAACGTGTTTAAAAATGTGAAAATTTGTTTTGAATTTACCGTGTTACAATTTGGTATCAGAGCCTTGGTTTGATGGATTCGGATGCATTTTTCGGGCGTATCTGAACTCAAACTGAGGAACTGAGGAAAATTTGATAATAAAGTGAGGATTTTTTTAAAGAAAAAGAGTAAAAAGAGTTTTGAAACAAACAGAGCAGATCCGTGTGTACGATCAGCCACCGCCCGAACGGTGATTTCCCAAAATACCCTTACAATAAGTTGTAAAAGAAATGTTATGCTATGCTATATGAATTATATTATGCATGCTAGAGTAAGACTAGGGATTCTTATTAGGACTAGAGTGGCCTGATATATGATGCCTTAGTCTAGGGAGTTTGCTATTAGGAATGCTTGAGAGTGTTGAGATAGCATCAAGGAGCTTATGAGAGATTTGCTAGTGAGTAGCACATGATTAGAGAGAATAGCATACTTGGGATTTGGGGCTCTAGGAGGAGGACTTGGTGTGAATGCTGAGTCGGTGTGGTTGGTAGTATTGGGCCCGTACTATCGAAGGCACCAAGTCAGTGCGCAACCTAAGTAAGAATCCTTAGGGCACCAGAGATCACGTAGGGTTGGGATATCGAGTGTGTGTACATCCGAGTAAATTACTGATATCTTATGTTGTATTTCAGAGAGGCATCATGGTAGGGACACGTCACAGACCAGGGACCAGTGGAGGGGGTGTGAGCAACGAGGAGCTCTGCCAGATGATTCATGATGAGGTGGCTGCTGCCATCCGCGATGAGATTCCAGAGATGTTCAGGTCAATTAAGACCACCCTGATAGAGACATTCGATGAGAGATACGATGCTCTTTCTGAGGTTGCTGTTGCTGCGGCCACTGCTGCTGTAGCTGCGGCTAGACCGCAGGGTGGTGATGCGTTCCTGTTCTGGGAGTTTAGCAACACAAAACCACCGGAGTTTGATGGGACCCAGGACCCGATTGCAGCGATGAGGTGGACATCAGACATAGATGGATGTTTCTTTACTTACTCATCTCCTTAGCATTTGAGGCTCCGGTTCGCGCTGAACCAGCTTTGCTTGGGAGCGAAGGACTGGTGGAAGTTTGTGACGACGCATTATTCGCCTACTAAGCTTGCTGCAGTGACTTGTGAGAGGTTCACTGCTATGTTCCGAGATGAGTACATTCCCCAGGTGGAAAAGGAACGTTTGGCCCAGGAGTTTTTGACCCTCAAGCAGGGTACTGATTCTGTCATAGTGATTACGAGGAAATTCCATGAGCAGGCGATGTTTTGCCCAAAGCATGTGTCCTCCGAGTAGGCACGTATGAGCCGCTATCTGATCATTTTAAGGAGGGATATACGGGAGTTCGTGGTGAACTCGACGTATCGGACATTTGCTGAGCTTCAGGAAAATACCCGGAAGAGGGAGATAGAGCTGGAGACCCAAGCTAGGGAGGAGGATGAGTCTCAGGCGAGGGATCGGCGACCGACACAGTCTCAGCCGGCAGCCAAGCGGGCCAAGCCCGCTGATTCACAATCTAGGAGTCAGAAGGGCCACACTTGTGGCAAGTGCGGAAGGAGCCACGAGGGGGTGTGCAGAGCGGGGTCATGCTACAAATGTGGCAAGGAGGGGCATATGGCTAGGGATCGCCCCAAGGGGTTTGCAGTATGCTTTCACTGCAACCAGACCGGACACCGCAAGGCAGAGTGTCCACAGTTATGAGGGACTGCCCAGGGAGCACCTCAGGGATCTGCCCCTGCTGCTATCAGAGCTACTGAGAGCCGGCCAGTGAAGGCCAAGGTACTGAAGGCGCGAGGGAGAGCCTTCCAATTGACCGCGGAGGAGATCCGCGCAGCACCCGATGTCGTGGCTGGTATGTATTCTTTCGTATATTTACTTTTATGTTGAGATATTGTGCTTATATTATGATATGCGTAGGTAATTTTCTTGTGAATTATGTACCTACCTTGGTGTTATTTGACTCGGGTGCGAGTCGGTCTTTTGTATCTTTGGCTTTTAGTCAGCACATCAATATTAGTCGAGAGGTGATGAGTCGACCTCTGAGAGTTTCCATAGCCGACGAGAGAGCGGTGTATGCCACCGAGGTGATCCGAGGATGTGTTCTTGAGATTTTCGGTGTCAAGTTTCCGATTGATCTAGTTCCTATTGTGATGGGAGATGTATGTGTCATCGTGGGTATGGACTAGTTGAGCAAGTTTGGAGCGGTTATCAACTACGAGAGACAGCTGGTGACCATATGAGACCCTAGTGGGGGAGTTCTTACCGTGTACGGCGAGGGTACGCGTTCTGGGTCGGCATTTTGTTCAGCCGCTAGAGCGAGACAGAGTCTACATCAGGGCTGTAAGGGGTTTGTAGCATATGCGATGGATACGAGGATTGATTCGGAGAGACCGAGGTCAATTGATGAGGTACCGATAGTGCGTGAGTTCCCGGATGTATTTCCGGAAGAGTTACTGGGTGTGCCTCCTGAGAGGCAGGTTGAGTTCAGCATCGATTTGGTTTCGGGAGCTGCACCTATCGCCAAGGCACCTTATCGCCTTGCGCCTCCAGAGATGCAGGAGTTATCCTCGAGCTTCAGGAGCTGCTGGGGAAGGGGTTTATTCGGCCAAGCAGTTCGCCATGGGGAGCACCCATCCTTTTTGTTAAGAAGAAGGATGGCTCACATCAAATGTGCATTAATTACAGGGAATTTAACAAGCTGACTGTCAAGAACCGTTACCCGTTGCCGAGGATCGACTATTTGTTCGATCAGT